CCATGTGGGGGGGGGCAGACTGGTTGTTGGCTGCATGTGGTGAGACCTAACCCATTATTCAGTTCCTGAGGAGGTGTGGTCTGGATGTCTTCTTTGACCCTATGGGATAGGAGGGGCATCAAACCGTGGTGGCGGGAGCTGTTGATGCTGGGCAGGCTTGAGGAGGGGGAACCCCCACAGTCCCCAGCTTTGAGCCAAAGCTTGAAGGTAACCAAAGAAACAGGGACATGGAGGCAAGAGGGGATGCTGACTTCAGCTACTGGGGAAGGAAGGAGGAACGGCTGGGTGAAAGAAAGAAAAAGTGGGAAGGAAGAGGGGGAAGGAAGGGGGAGGAAGAAGGGAGAGACAGGAGGGGGAAGAGAGGGAAGAGGGGAAAGGTTATGGTATGTCTACGTTGGTGGAAAGATGGGTATCTGGATGAATGAATGGGCAGGTGAGTGGGTAAATGAGTTGCAGATGGACGGATGGATGGATGGATGGATAGATGGATGGATGGATGGGCACATGGGTGGGTGGGCGAATGAACGGACAGATGAATAAATGGAGGGGTGGATGAATGAATGAAGGGGTGGATGAATGAATGGAGGGGCGGATGAATGAATGAAGGTGTGGATGAATGAATGGAGGGGTGGATGAATGAATGGAGGGGTGGATGAATGAATGGAGGGGTGGATGAATGAATGGAGGGGTGGATGAGCAGATGGGCACATGGGTAGTAAGTAGGTGGATGAAACGATGGGTAGATGATGGATGGACGGGTAGACGGGTAGGTGAGTGAGGGTTGGATGGAGTGAATGGTGGGTAGACACGAAGATGGACAGGTAGGTAAATAGACTGGTAGGTGAGTGGGGGTCGGATGGAGTCGGGTGGTCGGTAGACAAGAAGATGGACAGGTAGGAAAGTAGATGGGTAAGTGCACAGGCGATGCCAGTTGCATCTCTGAGACTCAGAATGGCTTAGTTGCCAGGGAACATGCTCTGGGGCTGGGGCTGGACCACTTGGGAGGTTTCTGTGAAGACTTGCATAGTCAAGGACCCCTCAGACACTACCAATCTTACAACGACAGTGTTCATCCTACCATCTGAAGGGCCACCCAGCTCCTCGAGGCTGCTGACATGCGGACCAGTCCCTCTGGTAGAGGATCTGGCCACCAGATGTTAGATAGGCACTAATGAGCTCAGTCTGCTGGTCACTGATTGGCTGAGGCTCTGGGCACTAGAGACAGATGGAACCGTGGATGGTGACAATGAGGCAGACAGGTAGGCCTGATTCAGGGCTGGGTGGGTAGGACCCAGGCACTTCGAGGTGGGCTGGTGCAAAGGCAGAGGTGCTTGGAAGGTATGGGGCTGTCCACTCCCATATGAATGCCCAACACCTTCTCAGCTGTCCCAGGACCTGCTCACCTCTCACCTGGCCTTAAAAAGGGAAGCAGGGTCACATGGAAGCAGGAGAAGACTGCCATCGCTACACACAGCAGAGCAGAAACAAGGGTGTGTTTGCTGGATAGAGAGGGAACTGTGACCCTCCAGGGTGAGCATTGGTGAGGGGGATGGCGTTACAGCCAGTTTGTCCATAAACTTGTTCAAGCGATTTATGAGGCTTGGCTGGCTTAGGGTAGGGGCAGCAGACTCAGGCAGCTTCTAATTGGAGCCGGGAGAGGAGAGATTCCGTGTTAATGGCAAACACACCCTCGCTGTGGCTGCCCCCTGAAATTGCGCTGCTAGCCAGCTACTAAATGTTTCTTTCTGACAGATAACACACACTCACGGTGGCAGGAAGACGAGAGGGCCTCAGCCACTCGAAGGTGCGCACGGTCCTTCCAAGACATGCCGACCCTGGGACTCAGGGTCGGATTCAGGGCCAGGGTGTTTCTGAGATGGAGGGCCACCACTCACATCAAGGATTCTATTCTAAAGAGGGCTGAGAAGGTTCCCAGCACCTGAGAAGCACGTGGAATTTCTGCCCTGGGGCAGCTCCAAACCAGCCCAACATCACGTTCATAGGCTATGGCTCATAAACCCAACCGTTTTTTATTTGCAGTGGCCATGTGATGTTACTCGAGGGAATGCCCTTGGCTCCTCCATGCCAGGGTCTTCGGAATATGTTCCCCCACCCCAATTCTTTGTCTCTTACCCAGTTGGACACTGGTGTCTGGATAGAGTGTTTGCTGAGCCTGTGTCATGCTCTGGGCTGAGCCTTGCCCTCTCTGGACTCCAACATAAAACCCAGGAAAGACGATTAGCCAGCCAGTCCCCAGCATCCAGGAATCCCATGTGGTATCTGATAAAGGCCTATGCCTGGCCAAGAGGCATTGTCCCATGTGAACAAAGTAACGCTGTTTCTGGGACCACTCAGCTCCATGTGTGGAACCCTGGCAGCCACAGTTGTCCCGGGACAGGGAGATGGCGGCATCATACCAAGGGGCTGGACATACTCAGATTGGCTGTCCCGAGGCTTCTTCCTGGCCATTTGGTTCTCAGCTGTTTATAGACTGGCTCTCTCAAAAGCAGGGGATTGAGGGGGGCAGAATGACCTAGAGGTTCTTAGCTCATGGTTCAGTTGACAAACTGGTAACACCCAAGGAACAACAGCCTGAGGTTGTTCCCTGACCTCCACATGTACCCACCCACACATGTTTGCACACCTACGCTTGTATCCATACACTACTTACACCTGTGCGTGCGTGTGAGCATGCGTGTGAGCATGCATGTGAGCATGCATGTGAAGCATGAACACCACATGGCAGTTCAGGGCATGAGAAACCTGGGAGAAAGAAGAGGGTGGGGAACCTAACTTGGAGGCTGAAGAGGAAACCACGTTGGTAGGGGACAAGGCTAGGCTGCCTGCCTGTACTTGCGTAAGCATCCGCTGGCCCCTGGGACACTGCTATCATGGGCTGTTATCTTACTGGGGTGCCAGGGAGCCTCAGCATGCCATGATACCCACATGAAAGGAAGTATCCCAGACTCTCCCTCCTGTCCCTCCCTGGGATACCAGAACCTCGGTTAGCCCACGGCCACCGAGATGCACCCATGTCACTGCCCCAAGCGCCCTCTGCACCGTTTCATCCTCTCCAACCACACACCGCGTTCACATCGAGAAAGCGTTATCACTGGTCTGGCCTAGCTGGAAAGACATAGCAGCACCTGAGGGATGAACACACGGGGCTTCTGTGACGCAAGCAAGATGCAACCCAAGTCACATCATTCTACCCCCCCACCCCCACGGCAGGCCGGCACGAATACCGTTCTCAAAATGAGGGCCCTTAAGTCTTAGCAGACCAGCAACAAAAGCAAATGAGCAGATTATATGGAGTTGGGTTTAGGCAGGGGTCATGGTCAACTCAATAGTCATGGCCACTGGGGGCCTTTACAAGGCCAAGGTTGCCTTGATGGCGGGGGTGGGGGTGGGGTGGGGTGGGGGGTGGGGATAGCAGGGCCTTGCTTAGGCGAGACATACTATTGCTGAGTAGGACCATCGTGTCCCTGGGGCAATACGGCACCCACAAACATGCAGAGGGCAGAGCATTTTCACCAAGGTATTCTCGACCCCAGGCAGAGACCTTGCTGGAGGACTTTGGGATATGGCTTTGCAACCTCTGTGGGAGCCTCCTGTTCTGGGGCCTGAGCAACTATCGGGTGGGGTGGGGGGAGAGGCTGACCTCAGCATTGCAGAGCGTGGATGGCCCTAGAGCCCATGTTTATGCCTGATGTGGGCCCCTAGCCCACTGTGGGTGATTATGAGGGCTGATGTGTGCCCGGCCCATCTCATGGTCTTAGCGGGTATAGGGGCTGAGAGGGTTGTAAGCAGGAGTAGTAGAACTGCTTTCACATGGTGAACACGGCTTTACCGCCCCACCTCAGCCTCCGTCCGTGTTGGATGCTTTTCTCTAGAGGCAAAGCCTCTGGTGACCACCAGCTTTTCATCATCCGCCCCCTGCGAGGTTCAGTGGTGCCAAGGAAGCCACGCCATTAGTGCATGCCCACGCTGCCAATTTGTGACACATTATCTCACGGGAGCCCTCGGTCCACCTCCACCCCCACGTTGGGTCTGTTATCATGTCCACACTGTCTCAACAACAAAGCCTTGTGACAGCTTTCCTCAGGATTGCCTGCTGATGGGTCGGCAGGGTCAGAAGGGCACAGAGGGAACCCTGGGCATAAAGATCCCAGGCTCTAGGAAGGATGTGTGTGGTACCCTGGGAGGTGACGCTTTGACAGAACTTTCTGGATGGAGGAGGAATCTGGCTTACCTGTGTCTTTGCACACAATGGGAGGGAGAACAGCCAGATAAAACCACATTTCCAAGGCCCTCTCCCTCATCATGGAATGGGGAAGCTGTGCCCAGGATCAATCGTCTTGTATTTTTTTCCCCCAAGCTGATTGCCAAGCCTGGTCTCAGAGCCAGAATGGATGGGCCTGTATGTGTGTCTCTCAGGCCGTAGCAGGTGGCTCCCAGCCACCGTCTGTCTTGTTCCGTAACTCCAGACTTGTTTGTTTCTGAGTACCCTTTGGTGGTTATGCCTTTACTTTCCTGTGTGTCTAGACCCAGACGGGCCACCTCGGTATGAGCTGATAACGAAATGAACTAGAGGTTGCTCCTGGGTACCTTAGGGCGTACGGAGAGAGATGAAGGACCCTGACCTAGATAGGAACAGGGACAGCGACCCGCCACCCGGAGTCAGACTGTGAGGAGACATTCCTGAGGGCTTCCTGGAAGAGTGCATGTTCAAAAAGGAATGTCCTGAGGGCCTGTGAGACATTTCCCCAGGGAAGTAAAGTGTTGTCACCCTATACAAGACAGTGCCCTGGGGCTCCTCATTCCCAAATGAGGCCTCTGATCCCCAGGTGTCTCAACATCACCCGGACTTTCTCCGCTTATCTAACGCTCCAGGAAATACAGGGGTCCAGAGCCCCACCACAGGCTCTGACACCCACAGAGGACAATTGTTACTTCATATGGATTATTATGTATAAGTCAAGTACTCTTGAAAAGGCCTTGCGGGCCATAGTCACCCGAGAGGAGAGCAGGCCACCAAGAAGGATGGAGGGTTCCCCGGCCCTGGGGTCAGTCTGCTAGCTATGCCTGGGAGGAGGCCTCCAGGAACCCTGGAATTCTGTGAACTCCCAGGGAAACCTTTTGTGACACGAGCTGGCCCCAGAAGGCTCATCTGCCTATATTTTGGCGTCACTCAGAAGGGATTGATGCAGACATGTTTAACCCACAGGTTCTAGACTCTCCTGCTGTGATTTTTGACAATGGGTCTGGACTCTGTAAGGCAGGGCTGTCTGGGGAGATCGGGCCCCGTCATGTCACCAGCTCCATTGTGGGGTACCCGAAGTTTAAGATGCCCTCGACGGGAGCCAATCAGAAGAAGTACTTTGTTGGGGAGGAAGCCCTGTACAAGCAGGAGGCCCTGCGCCTGCACTCCCCCATAGAGCGGGGCCTGGTCACCAGCTGGGATGATGTGGAGAAGCTCTGGAGACATCTCTTCGAATGGGAACTGGGTGTGAAGCCCAGTGAACGGCCCGTGCTCATGACAGAGCCCTCCCTGAACCCGCGGGAGAACCGGGAGAAGACGGCAGAGGTGATGTTTGAGACCTTCGATGTGCCTGCCTTCTATCTGTCAGACCAGGCCGTGCTGGCGCTCTACGCCTCTGCCTGTGTCACGGGCCTGGTGGTGGACAGCGGGGACGGGGTCACCTGCACTGTCCCTATCTTTGAGGGTTATTCCTTGCCCCATGCGGTCAGCAAACTTTACGTGGCTGGCAGGGACATCACGGAGCTCCTCACGCGGCTCCTCCTGGCCAGCGGGAGAGCCTTTCCGTGCCCGCTGGACAAGGCCCTCGTGGATGACATCAAGGAGAAACTATGCTACGTGGCCCTGGAGCCCGAGGAGGAGCTCTCTCGGCGTGCAGAAGACGTCTTGAGGGAGTACAAACTGCCGGACGGGAACGTCATCTACATCGGCGACCAGCTGTACCAGGCTCCCGAGGTTCTGTTTTCTCCAGACCAGCTGGGCACCCACGGCCCAGGGCTGGCGCAGATGGCGTCCAATAGCATAGCCAAGTGTGACGCGGACATACAGAAGACTCTCTTCGGGGAGATTGTCCTGTCCGGGGGTACCACGCTGTTTCAGGGGCTGGATGACAGGCTCCTGAGGGAGCTGGAGCAGCTGGCTTCCAAGGGAGTCCCCATCAAGATCACTGCACCGCCTGACCGCTGGTTCTCAACATGGATTGGGGCCTCCATTGTCACCTCTCTGATCAGCTTCAAGCAGATGTGGATCACCGCCGCAGACTTCAAGGAGTTTGGGGCATCTGTGGTCCAGAGACGGTGCTTCTGAAGGACCCTCCCCCCCCCGCCCCACACGCTCCCAGGAACCACTGTCCCTTGCGAGGGACACCCATGGGAGGTATGCTTTCCCATGGCTTTAGCACCATATTCAATTAAAGATGAGTGGTGAATCAACTGACTGTGTCGAGCTCGGTTCATTCTCTTAAGGAAGCAGAACCGCTTTGAGTATGTGGGTGTGTCTGTACGCACACACGCACGTGCACAGATGTGTTCACTTGTGGGCAGGTGCAGCGCCTGCGTGTGACCTCGGGTATCCCTTTTTCAGGAGCAACCTTGCTTTCTGAGACAGTCTCTCCCTGGGACCTGGTGCTTCCCAATTAGGATAGGCCGGCTGGGCCAGGGGTCCTCCTGTTTCCAACCTCTCCAGGGCTATGTGTCAAGTTTTTTACTGACTAAGTCATCTCTCTAGGCCCCTAACAGAATCCTTTCCGACCGTGTGGAGGTCCTATCCACACCTCTTGCCCCTGCCCTTTCTTTTGAGAGAGCCCTGGTGCTGTCCAGCGGCAGAAGGCCAAAGGCTTTATTCAGAAGTGCCGGAGGCCAGGCGTTGGTGGCGCACGGCTTTAATCTCAGCACTCGGGAGGCAGAGGCAGGCGGATCTCTGTGAGTTTGAGACCAGCCTGGTCTACAAGAGCTAGTTCCAGGATGGCCTCCAAAGCCACAGAGAAACCCTGTCTCGAAGAAACAAAACAAACAAACAAAAAACCTCAGAAGTGCTGAGGATGCATGTAAAGGGTGTTAGGTAGGACTGAGAACTTGGGAATAGTGATCTAGAGGCTGAGGAGCAGGTCTAAATGCCATTTTGTCTGAAGGTTCAAGGAGCCCTTGCCTGGAGGTCCTTGCTAGGTAGGGCAGGGTTGCCTGGAGGCCAGGTAGCGACAGTGTGGAGCCTCTGTACTCTGTCGGGGATGGTGGCCATGAATCTGGGAGCATATATCAGCAGTTCAGGGCTCCCTACACCTCCATGGGTGATTGTGTTTGTTTTCACTTTCAAGGATGTTTATAGCTTAGTCTTGTTTGGAGGCAGAATACTGGAAACAAAGTTAATGGCCGTCAGTAAAGTAACGGCTGAGTAGCTGATGCATGAAGGGAATTTCTACATGCATTTGGTGGACTTCTCCCAAAAAATAACTGGCAGAGAAATGGAGACCACAGAGAAAACCCTTCCTCCTCCTTCCTGCCTGCATGTGTGAATGTGTGTGGGTGCAGGTGTGTGTTCATGTGTGCCGGTCATATACAGACCAAAGTCAGTCTCGGGTGTCATTCCCAAGGAGCTTGTCCACTGTTCATTTTGGGGCAGTCTTCAGGGATTGGCCTGGAGCTCACTGCTTAGGCTACACGGCCAGGTCATCAAATCCCAGAAAAAGAAAATCTTGTGTCTGTTTATGTATCATCGGGATCACAATGCATGCCTCAATGCCTGACATTTTAAAAATATGTTGTTTTCAAATTATTTATTTTACATGTGTGCATTTTGCTTGTGCTTATGATTTTAGTGCCACATGTGTGCCTGGTGTGGGAGGAGTTCAGAAGGGGGGGTTGTCGGATCCCCTGGAACAACTGGAGGTAGGGAGGACGGTGAGATGCCAAAAGTTGTGTGACAAAACGTATCCTGGGGAAACGCTACCCCAGACCAAAGCACTGATGTCACCAAAGTCCAACTTGGTGAACCACAAGTTTTACTGGGATCACTAACAGAAATACGGGTGAGGGGTTACTCACAGGACTAGAAACGACTCAAAGACCCCCTACTTCACTAAAGCTCACCGGAACATGGGTGACAGATCACAAAAGCTGGGAGCCTGGAGCCCACTGCACAGCCTGTAGGCACCTTGACAGGCTGGAGAGCAGCGTCCTTTCCGGGTGCCTCAGTTGGTGGTCTACACCTCTTCCTGGCAGCAGAACTGACTTTTGCTTCTTCCAGGCAGTCCTCTGGTCTTGAGAATCTTCCCTGAAGCTTAGCTCTTTTGATCTCAGGGTGACATTCAGCAGCCTTTGTTTTTTCCCTCTGGCCACTAGGGGCTTAGTGAGTCTGGTCAGTTTCAGAGACTTCCTGAGGCTCCTTTGTTTACCTTCCTGCTTAAGGGGCTGACCTGGATGATGAAATACTGCCATCTCTAGGAAACTGCTACACAACCATGTTGGTGCTGGGAATTGAACCCATGTCCTCTGGAAGGGTAAACCAGTGCCCCTAACTGCTGAGGCAATTCTCTGGGCTCTGTGTCTGTCATTTTATGTGGGTGCTGGGGGTTGAGTTTGAGTTTCCATAATTTGGGGAAATAAATAACTTTTCTGACTGGGCTATCTTTAGAGAAGAAGCCTCACTCATTTTTTTAAAATAAAACTGTAGTGTCCTCCCAGGCATAGTAAACTGGTTCTCATTTCTGCATGCATCATCCATCTTAAAACGGAGTTCTCCAAAGACAAAGGGAAACACTGAAGAAGGGGACCAGTAGGGGCCAACGTAGTAATTGACTGCTTTCATGAATAAGTTCTAAGTCAGACCAGCTGATGCGGTGGTACTCCATGCAGAGACAGGAAGGAAGACAGTATATTAGGGATGAGAGGAGGGTGTTCCGTGCGTGGACAGCATCTAGTGCCCTCTATTCTACAGTGTGTTCTGTAGTGAGATATCCACCCCGCCCACACCTGTAGCACTGACCACATCCTCATCTGTGACCACGCCCAAACAGGCGTGGTCAGTGCTACAGGTGTGGGCTGGGGTGGATATCTTAACTATGGCGTTCCGCCTTGTGGCTGGACTAGAAGCGCCTGCAAACCTCAGCTGCTCCTCTAGAGTTCTGCAAACAGAACTCTGGGGCGGGGGGGGGGGTGCGGGCTCTCTGGCTCAGAGGGACCGGACACATGCTGGGAGACCCTGCCAACGCGCCCCACCCCCACACCCCATCAACCGTGGTGGCCGTCACATAGCACAGCTACCACCTGAATGTCACAGTGTGCTCAGTTACTTGTCTCAAGTGGCTCCGGGTTGCTAAGGCTGGGGCTGGCTCTGCCTCTGCCACCTCCATGGTATCCTGAGACCCGGGCACCCAATTCAGGTTCAGAAGGAGCTAGATGCAGGGCGGCTGCCCCGGCCACCTCACCCAGGTAGGGCTGTGGTGCAGGACCGCAGGTTGCAGTTGATAACCACAATGAGGACAGCTGCACAGGCCAGAAGGATCCTTCCCAGAGTCCCCAGAAGGAACAAGCCGGGTAGGTGACCGCTTTGACTTCAGCCCTTGTCACGGGTGAGGAAATTCTGGCATGTGACCACGATGGCTGCTATGGCAGCGAGTGTGGCTGACCTGTTACTATTCCCCCAAGGACTGTCTTCCACCCGGGGGGACTCCATCCTCCCAGGATACACATGCCAAGAAGCCTGGCCCGCGCATCCCTTCACTCACGCATCCATCCATTTTTCTTGCTCTAATTCATGAATCCATCATCTCACTCACATACACACTCATTCATTCATTCATTCCCATCATCATCGCACAGCACTCAAAGGAAGCCTGCCGGTTCAAGGAATATGGATGTGTAAGCTGTGGGAGCAGAAGACACTTGGAAGCTAGGGGAGAAGTCGACCCGGAGGCCAACAGGCAAGGCTAGCTGACCTTGCAGGTGGCTGAACAAGACCCGGGAAGTGCAGAACGAATAGGGATTCCATGTTCCTCGGTTGGCCTTCAGCTCTTCTTCTGGTGCCCGCCCCCCCCCTGGGGGTGTTTCAGACTCTGCACACCTGTGAGGACCAGATGTTGTCCAGATGTGTGCTGCGAGAACCAAAGAGCCCCAGGTGTGAGTTTCTTCTGGCCCCTGGCCTTGGCCTCCTATGAAGTTTTAATATCCCAGTGGGATGCTCCCAGGGGCAGAAGAGCTGTGTGTGAGAAAGGGATGGTGTACCTACCAGGGGTTAGCCCAGGGTATGAATCTGAGCAGCTAGCTACTCTGTCCCTCTCTGGAACTGGCAAGAGACAGGGCTCAGAAGCTCCCCTTGAGCCATGGGGTAGGGAGAGCCTCTGGCTCAGATAGTACACCCATACCCATCTCCACAGTTCCCTTTACTCCAGGACAGGAACTGGCAAGAGACAGGGCTCCAACACTCCCCTTGAGCCACGGGATAGGGAGAGCCTCTGGCTCAGATAGTACACCTGTACCCATCTCCACAGTTCCCTTTACTCCAGGACAGTAAGGCCGGGCAGGACTCTGGGGACTTCCAGGATCCTAGTCCTCCGTGTTAGTACAGGAGTCGTGTAAACCAGTGAATCTAAAAACACACAGGCCATCTAATCCCTCATGACGGAGCTGCTTCAGAGTTCAGCCTGGTGCTTGGCAATCCAACAAAGAAGATCAGGGCAGGGAGGGGGCGGTGCTGGGAAGCTAGACCATCTTGAGGGCCCAGTACACACGTGGCCAGGACCTCTCTCCAGGGCTGTCCCTTCTAAGATAGCCTTGCTGACTCCATACTCAGAGGTGGCTTCCATTTTTTTCTGGGAAGCAGCTGTCCCCAGGTGGCCTTGGCTGCAGAAGGAACCATAGCCTTGTGGGCCAGCACTTTCCATTCCTGTCCAAGGTTATTATTTACAGACAGCCAGCAGTCTAGAGGGGATGGTGGGCTGCACCTGAATCTCTGGATGCTGAGCTGATTGGTTGGCATTCTCCTATGTGGGGGTATGGACCGGCTTCCTGAACCTCTATGTGTTGGAAAACTAGGGTCTGTCTATCCACTAACTCTGAGTCAGCAACCTGGTGGTCCCCACCCTCAACCCACCCCAGCACCAGGACTGTTCCCAGCCTCTGGAGGCAGGCCCAACCTCTCATCTGGTCCCAGGTAAGAAACCAAAGCCAGTTCAGTCTTGGTTTTTGTTTTGTTGGTTTTCTGTTTTTTGTTTGTTTGGTTTTTTGGTTTTTCGAGACAGGGTTTCTTTGTGGCTTTGGATCCTGTCCTGGAACTAGCTCTTGTAGACCAGGCTGGTCTCGAACTCACAGAGATCCGCCTGCCTCTGCCTCCCGAGTGCTGGGATTAAAGGCGCGTGCCACCACAACCTGGCCAGTTCAGTCTTTTTTTTTAAAGTTATTTGTTTTTGCTTTGTGCACACTGGTAATTTTCCGGCATG